GAATAAGAATAGGAAGTCTTCTTTATTGGGAAGAATGCGTTTTAGACAGCACAACTGTCCAGCTCCTAACTCCTTGTCACTTCTACATCATTAATTACATACATACATACCCCCTTCTCGCTCAATTCTCCTCCAATACCGGCGTCGCCGCCGCCGCCACGACCGACACCACCACTACTTTACTGTGATACCCAGGAGGGAAGCCAGGGATGGAACCAAAACTAACGGCGGATATAGACCAGATGCCCCCGCGAGGACCCCACCACCGTCGAGCCCACTCCGACACCTCCTTCCGCCTCGATGATCTCCTCTTCTTTGATATCTCCGACCTCGACCTTTCCTCCCTCGACCTCCCCACCCCACCTTCCAATCCCACTCCTTCTCGTGCTATCCCCGTTTCGGCTGATTCCTCCGACGACTCCTCATCCAACGGCCAACCTCGCCCTTCTCAACCCAGGCAAATCTCCTCCCACCTCCGCAGCCTCTCCGTTGACTCCGATTTCTTCGATGGACTTGGGTTAACTGGACCCGCGGTTTCCGGACCCGCCGAAGAGAAACTTGGCGGGAAATTGGCGGCGGGTGAGAAGAGGACGCACCATAGACACAGTAATTCCATGGATGGGTCTACCTCAGCCTCCTTTGACCTGGACTCTGTTATGGCTGTGGATGGTGTTAAGAAGGCTATGGCTCCTGATAGACTAGCTGAGCTTGCTCTGATTGATCCCAAGAGAGCTAAGAGGTATTTTCTGCTTTCAGGATTTGGGTTCAAATTTAATAACCTGTATGTATTGCAATTGGATTGTTTCCAATTTCTTGGTGTATGCATCATTTCTTCTAGCAAAGTTTTTATTTTTTATAATCTCTTCTTGTTTGGCACCCAGGGAAAAAGGCTAATTAGAAAGATTGTTTCTTTAGAGGAAATTTATTGTCTTTGTTATGTAGATTAAGGAGGAATCACTTTGTTATGGGATGTTTGTTCATATTGCAGGATTCTGGCTAACAGGCAATCTGCTGCACGATCAAAGGAGAGGAAAATTAGGTATACCAATGAGCTAGAGAGGAAGGTGCAGACTCTTCAGACGGAAGCTACCAGTCTCTCTGCTCAGGTTACATTGCTACAGGTATGAATTTTAGCTTTCAACATCAAACTTTGAATTAGTTCATTTCTTTAGAGTATGAGATTCTATGCTCATTTTCAGTATCTGCTCATGTCATATCTCAATGATTAATACGCGGTTATAACAATAACCAAAGTCAACATCTGCCCAATTTTTTTTTATTGTATTTGTTTGCAAGTGGGCTAATTAATTTGATCATTTCCATTTCCTTGTGTTTTGATTACAGCTTTAGTTTAATAACATCCCTGCTGTCTTTGTCTGCATTTCTTCCATGAGAAGGAACAGAAATCAACTTGAGTTTAAGGACTTGTGGTTGCATGAGATGTTTTTTGACAAGCATTATGCTTCTCTATCTCTCTCTGATTTTTTTCTCTCTTGTCTGTATTGAGTAAATATAGTAAGGCTTTTGCACAACATTGTTGTGGACTTATTAAAGTCTGCATTAAGTATTTTGCGAATATTGTTAGCTCTTGAAAATTTTGTCTGTGTATTTCATTTTCCTCTGAGAACGGCACTTGTGTGTCTTGTGTAGAGACCAAAAGTTTTATAATGTGGAGTTTAGAACAGGACTGGGAGTCATGCATCAATTTAGGAAGTTCCTTGAAATGAGGAAGTATAAAGCATGTTAAATTGGAAAATATTTAAGGAAAAAAAAAAAAAGCAGTATCTTTGCAGAACTACTTGTATCATAAGTTAATTCAATACATTGTAATTTTTGTACCAAAAGGATATCAAAGCTATGGTTGCATTTAATATTATGCTATAAATTGATCCTCAGTCCCATTCCAAGAGCTTATTGTCCACATAGCTGCAGAGCCATTTAGGAGCAACCGGACATCTACTGCAATTCTAGTGAAAAAAATTCCAAATCTGAAGAAATCATTAGTGAAAAATTTCCTTTTGGATTTGGAATTGTATGATGCCCCAATATTGAAGTACAAATATGTCCAGGTGCCTCATAGTGGCAATCAGACAGGACAAAGAAAGTCAATAGATAACTTTGGTCGTAATTCAAGGCCCATCTTATGCTGCCTGTTGTTTTAGAATTGTGTTGCATGTCTGATTCCATAATAAATCCTTGCTGTTAGGCATAATACACAACATTCAATATCAGCATCCTAAAATTCTGTTTACCATTTATGGATAAACATTGGGTGCTTAAATTTAGTTCACCATTTGGTTTGTTGTTTTTACAGCCATACTGTGTGTGTGTGCTGAAGTTGTTTTTGTCCTGGATAGTTCCTGTTGCATCTTTGAGGCTGTAAATTTCTTTTAGTTCACTCACTCAAATGGAACAATGATTCTCATACATGTCATTATCTGATGCAGAGGGACACTACTGGGTTGACTGCTGAGAATAAGGAACTTAAATTACGACTTCAGGCAATGGAACAGCAAGCACAACTTAGAGATGGTACTTATGTTTTTTGATATCTTTATTTGATTTTGTCAGTGGTACTTGGTGAGTTGGGAACTTGTGTGGGTGAATTATTAAGTGGAAATTTTTTTTTCTTTTGCACTTCTAAGAAATGAGTCATATAAAAAACAATTAAATGGGCATATATAAAATAAAAAATCTAAATGCTATGGAGAATGCTATGGCAGGCTTCCAGTTCATTTTTGTCCCTTTTTTTTCTGTGCGTTTATGTTTTCAAAGGCCTTAATCTAAATGCCACTTGTTTATAGAATGATCATGTAAGAATTGGGAATTTTTGTATTTTCGCTATTGTTGCAGCCTTGAATGAAGCTTTGAAGGAAGAAGTGCAGCGGCTTAAGATAACAGCTAGCCAAATGTCAGCCATGAATGGGAATCCTTTCAACAGAGTACTAACTCCTCAATTTGCAACTCAGCAATTGGCCCCACATCAATTTGGTGCTCCTCAGACCCAGCAGCATCAACAGCAGCCGCCACCACAACAGTTGTCTCAACCATCCACCAACAACCAGACTCTCAACAGGCAGCCTCATCCACACTTCATGGACTTTGACCAGAGGGTCTAATGACGTATCAGAATCTAATAACACGAAAGAAAATTTGTTCAGGGTATCTCTTTGTACATAGAAATATGTATATGATTTGCAGATAGAGTTTGCAAGGAGTGTTGCTTGACTAGTTCTTGTACCAGTGTCACAAAATTGTTGCATCACCATTAAAGAAGATATGACTAGAAATCTGTTTGCAAGGAGATGCTAGGTCTTATTATTCAGTTATTGATGACTAGATGATTGTTGTAACTTAGTTTCTAGACTACAGAACAATAATTCTGCGGGGATAGTGTGCCTTCAACATATCATGTTCTTACCAAGGGAATGATTTTGTGTTTCCACTTTCCAGTCTTGTATTATGTTTTCTTGCAATAGGTATGTGTTATGCAGAAATTCTGATGCATCTTCACCATAACATTGTTCTTGGTTCTTTCTTGATCATTTTATTTAGACCTGCAATAAGAAGTTGGCACTTGGCATGGTTATTGAATATCTGAATTGACATGAAAAGTTATATTGAACAACCCATTTTTCTATTTGTGAGGAGGTAATACTGATGCAACCCTGGAACAGTGGGAAATGGATGGACCTACATTTTCGTAACTTCCAACTAATCTAGTTGCTATTTTCTCTTATCCAGTCCCAATGGCATTTTCTCCTTTTTCTTGCGAGTACCATTCCACCACTAAATCTAAAGAAATTAGAAAAATAATGTTTCAGCTTATACATCATCGAAACGAGGAGAATAAATCCAGATACAGGCTAAAGAGATGATAGAACTTGTACAGAAGAATATGATTTTCTGAGATTAAAAAAATGGTTCTAAGTAGTATCCCAATCTTTTTCACTGATGCATCGTTGATACCAAAGCCTCTGTTGCTTTGGATTTCGATGTTGTACAAAGTCAGCTATTACAATGCATCATTTGTGTATTCCGTTGCATCACCATCATACCTATTTAAATACTATGCACACTCGCAGCACCAGGACATTGAAGAACATACCAGAGAAATTTCAGCTCATCATCCTTTAAAAAGTTCAGAACTCGAGACGGGCTCATCAAGCAGAAATGGAGCTCAGTATCTTGATGTTCATGATGCTTCTGTCCATGTTTGTTCACTCAGCTTTCTATTCAAGTTTGTGTATTGTAAACCCTTCACTTTCTTCTTCCTGCATTCAAGTACATCACCAGAAGCAATGGATCAAATCCCTGGAAACTTAGGTTGGCCGGTAGTTGGTGAAAGTGTCTCATTCGTATCCAACTTCTCCAGCCCTTCTGGTATATTCAACTTCATGAACGAGAGGCAGCAGAGGTGATCAAATTGAAAGAGTTCGTAAAACATTATGATTTGATCTATCTGTTTGATGAAATCAATTTTTCTTTCAGGTATGGGAAGGCGTTCAAGACAAGGGTTTTGGGGAGACTTATGGTCTTCATGACAGGAAGAGAAGCAAGTGAAATGTTGTTGACAGGCAAAGATGGGATGGTAAGCTTGAACCTGTTCTACAAAGGACAGCAGGTCTTGGGTCGGACCAGCCTGCTCCAAACTAGTGGAGAAGAACACAAGCGGCCCCGGCGGCTAATGGGCAAGCTTCTCTCTGTTGGTGGTCTGAAAAAGTACTTCCAGTTCATTAACAGTCTGGCAATAGAAACATTGGATCAATGGTCAGGACGGGGATTTTGGATCTTGAAGAGGCTTCTACAGTTGAGTTTCTGAACACCCTAAAAGCAAATTCTTGATGGAAGGTGTAGCAACTCTTTAGACTGTAATTGTAAATGGACCGTGGATCTTTGTGATTTTGCAGTTCACTCTGAAAGTAAAAGGCAACATGATAATGAGCCTGGAACCAACAGGGGAGGGGCAAGAGAAGTTCAGGGCCAATTTCAAGATCATTTCTTCGTATTTTGCTTCCCTGCCACTGAACATCCCAGGAACAGGATTTTATCATGGTCTGAAGGTAAATATCTTCCTCCCATTGAAAGTTCCAATACTGCTTCCTTGCATTCAAAGAAACTCATTGGAATTTATGTGATCCAATGTTTTGATCTTGTCAGGCTCGAGATAGGATGCATGCTATGATAGACTCAATAATAGCCAAGAGGCGAAATGGGGAAGTTTTCAGACAAGACTTCCTGCAATCCCTGATAATGAGGCATAGTAGCCGAACAAATGAAGAAGATGAAGATAAACTAACGGATAAACAACTTAGGACAATATATTAACTCTGCTAATTGCAGGCCATGACACCACAACTGCTGGTCTTGCATGGCTGATCAAATTCCACGGAGAAAATCCTGATGTTCTGGAACAACTCAGAGTAATGCTGAGACTTGGTTAAAATTACGTCTTTCATTTTTATGATGAATGTGTTAAAATGGAAACTCAAAGTGGATTTGCAGATGGAACGCCAAGAAATTAAAGCAAACAGAAAGGATGGAGCAGGTGAGAAATTACTGGTCAGAAGTTAATAACTTGCCTTACACTGCAAAAGTGAGCCAGCAACATAGATCACTAGTTTTTATAACAATTCAATGTTTCGGAATCTCAGTGTTCTTATTTGCAAGTTCAGCTGATCAATGAAACTTTTCGAAGAGCAACAATCTTACCTGGGTTCTCAGGAATAGCTGCTCAGGATTTTGAGATAGATGGTTTGACCCTGCAAAAAGAACAACAATTCTTAGTATTTAATGAAGAAACATGAAACTGAGATACTGACCAACCATTTGGCAATTTTACAGGCTACAGCATTAAGAAAGGTTGGTCTGTCAACTTGGATGTTGTTTCCATACATCATGATCCTGGAGTTTTCCCCGACCCTCAAAAGTTTGATCCCTCCAGGTTCAATGTAAGTTCCGTTGCTTTTTGCAGTAGATTTTTCTTCATTTTCCTGGATAGATAAAGGATAACAGTATAAGTTTCTATCCAATTGCAGGCACCACTGAGGCCTTTCAGCTTTCTGGGATTTGGAAGTGGACCGCGAATGTGCCCTTGAATCCACCTGGCTAAACTGGAAATCTCCATTTTCATCCATCACTTGGTCTGCAGATACAAGTAAGATGAGAAAATTTTTAAGGACTAGCAGAAATCCACCAAACGTACTGTTTCTACCTCAGATTATTTTTCTGCGTTTCGAAGATAGAATTTGGAGGATTGGATAAAAGGGCATTTCATCATATTGAGAGCATAAATAGACCTATGTCCATTTAAAGTTTCTCACAAAGTAATCTGTACCACAGGTGGAAACCTCTGGAACGAGATGCTTCTGTGCAGCCAACACTTGTTCGTATGCCCAAAAACAAGCATCCTGTTTTGGTTGAGCCGCCCTGAAACATTTCTTACTGGGAACTCAGCAAGTCAGAGCAAGCATGATGTTGAGGAATGAATGCTAAGACAGAAGATAGACAACACCAGGAGAACATATTTGAAACAGAAATTTCTCAAATACGTTTTCCACTTAAATTTAGCAATTAGCATAATGCAGCATGTAGAGTAAGGATAAAAGGAGTCATTTTTTATCCCAGCAATAATAAAAATTGTTCCGAAGTTCGTTAAGAAGTTCTTAAAACAGGCAGCAAGTTTTGATAATCTGATGAATGCTCCATACTGATACAGCCCTCAAAGATACGAAGTCAGGAGAGACATCTTTACATTTTAAGCCGATTCGATTTTTTTGATCGGAAATTTAAGCCTATTCGATTAATGTCCATGAAACGTGAGCGTTTTTTATCACTCAATAAACCGTTAAAGAACTTACATGCACTACTGCTGCAGATTGCATGACATCCGAAGCAGCAACAGGACTTGATATGGACTGGCAAATACGAGTTTCTTCAGATCTCAGATACAGACCAATTAGAATGAACACGAAATGCTAAAAAACCAAAAGCAATTCAGATGCTTACTTTAAGCAACACAGTTCTACATTATTGGCAAGCCGGCAGGTACTACTACTCCAGCAGGATGCATTCATACAAGGAAAGGAATGCAGGGACTAGAATAAAATCTAGAGTTCACTAGAATCAACTACAGATAGAACCATAAGGAGCAATTCTAAATCATGAAAACTATTCAATTCAACAATTATGCAGTGCACAAGCACAGTTCTCTTTTCCCACTTCAGCCACAAGACAAGGAGGCTGAACACTTCCATCCTGGTACCAAGTTGAGCGTCGTTCAATTAACTCATTTAGGAAATCATCCAGCTTATCAATGGTTACATTTGGCATCACCACCACATGGGCAATATTTCCTTGACAAGCCAGCTGCCACTTACGAACAAATTCCTCCTCCTTGGGCCGCTCAAACACAACAGTACTGCTAAGTTCATTTAGCATTGCACTGATCCCAGCTTCACGCAAGTGATCCTTCAAGTAGTGAGCATTTCTGAGGCATTTCTGGACTTCCTTTTGGAATCCTTTGTATCCTTTTCTGTTGAGGGTATACCAAAGGAAAATAGGAGCATGGCCATTCCGGCTTCCCATGATTGTAGCATCCCTCGAAGCAAGGTACTCAACATTGCTTGAAAGGACATTGATGTGCTCCATCCTTGTTATCTGAACACCACAAGGCATTGGACACCCAACAAACTTGTGACCAGACACACTCACACTTCCAATAGGCTTCTTGAAAGTAACCTTTGGTGCCTATTCATCATGAACATTATATCAGATGAGATCCCAAAAATAGTAGTGCCTTCAGAGATGCAATAAAGTCCAAGTAGAACAGATCTGGAGAAAGAATTGAGAAAAGCAATAAACATAACATTGTAAACTAACAATTTATCATAACTTCTAATGGTTTCTTTTTTATTTTCTTAATGGGACATAACTTCTACAGTTAAATGCAAACAAATACAATCTATGAGAAGAACATATTAAGAACATATTAATAATAATAATAATAAATAATTAAAAAAAATTTACCACTTGTGAATCTCAACATAAAAAATTATAAGTTTGTAGAACCAAATACTTTTGCCCATCATAATATGACCATTGAATGAATAAATGTACAGGAGTATAGCCTAAATTTTCTACATTTACCAGATTTGCCAAAATCATTTGAAGCAAGAAATGTAATAACTCACACGTTTGACAAAAGGCATCATGAGCCCAAACAACGCCCCATCACAATGAATGTAGAACCGATCATGCGAAAATCCACACTCTTCAAGCGTTTGTATCACAAGATCAAGGTCATCCACAGCTCCTTTGACAGTTGTTCCTGCAATAAATGTCATCCTCAAAATGTTAACTCAATAAGCCTAAGTCTTATAGTAGGTATATGTGTATGCATGTGTGTGAGAGAGAGATACCTATGTTAACATTGATTATGGCTGGTTTGTCCTTGTTAGCCAGCAGCTTAACTTTGAAGTCAGCACAATCAATCTCACCAGAGGTCAACGTATCAACCTTTACACATTCCATTCGATACATACGTGCTGCTTTAAAGACAGAGTAATGTGACTCCTTTGAAGCATACAAAATACCATCCGGAAACACTTCCCTTCTGCAAATCCATCATCATTGATTTTCATGCTTTATTCACATGTATATACAATTTCTAAAGAGAAAGTAACTCAGGTTTATAAATAAAACTCACCCAACTAAAATTCCATGAAGATTACCCTCTGTACCACAGTTTGTAATGTAACCCCAATATTCGTTCTTCTCTATTTCCCATAAGCGGGCAAACCAATCCAAGACACCAACTTCAAATTGTCTTGAATGAACACCGTAGTTGCTTTCAATAAATGGATCCCCAAGATTGTTTATGGAGAAATGTTGCAACTGAGACAGGGCTCCATAATCAAAGTCCAAATTATAGGGATAGCCTGAAAGAAGCATTACCATATTTAACAATAAGAAGAGGTTCCATCAATTCACAAGCAATCAAGATAAACATGCATTACTTTAAATGTTCTGCTCATTAAATCAAGCTGAAATTAATGGCACACGGCATTCCTTCCACAAAAATCTAGCCTAAAGATAAATTTTTTTTAAATTGAAATTTAAAAGATTGCAGATATTAAACAAAAAAAAAAAATGGAGAACTAAATTAAAATTCAAAAACAAAAATTATACCCAAATGGTGCTTGGTGCGGTCTACGAGAGTCTTCCGATAGCGAGCCAAGACGCTAGCCATGTAAGCGTCCTGATCGCCTGTTAACTCGTCGTTAACCTCAGGCTCCGTGACGGCAAGACACGAGGTGTGCACGTTATTTCCCAGCACGATCTCCCTGCTCTTCGGCTTCGCATCTTCTTCTTTCTCCTCAAAGTCTCTGAGCGATTCGTTGTCCTCCACAACTGGAGGCAATGGCTCGGCCACCACAGCAGTCGAATCGAAGTCTCCCCTTAAGATCTCCACCGCACCGTTAACCTTTCCCGACACAGACGCCATTACGTTCTCTACAGCCCCAACCATGACTGGAGGAAACAAATGAAGAGGTATGGAAATGGCGGTGATATGTAGATCTGGGAGAGGGGAAGGAGGAAGATGAGAGAGACGATTGTGTTTGGAATGTCGGCCGATGCGCTAGGACCCGAGAGTGGCGTAGAGACGAGAAGGGAATATGGTGCGAGGAAGAGTTGCCCCGAAGTTGCTTGTTAATTATAGGCGCCAGGAGGGAAGGGTGTTCACAGTTCACACTTTTCTTACCCTCCTCGTCCAAATTGGCAAAAACTTATTTCTTAATTTACCTGAATAAATTTATAAATTTTAATTGCCCACCTAATAACATGATATTTTTAATCTTTATTTACATGAATTAAA